CCCGCCACTGAGCGGGCCGCCAGAAACTTTTGCTTCGGGTTGAAACGGGTTTTCAAAAAGGAGTGGAACACTCCTTACGCAGTCACCGCGAGCGACGAGGCGCCGTACACAGAGACGGTCGGAGGGGAAATGACCCTGATAGCGCACGTTTTTCCGGATATGGTAGCTTGCGAGTGGCACGGTGAATGGGCGGATTGGCGAGAGCGCCACAGAAGCCCCGAGGTAGTTGAGCTCCAGAGCAACTCGGACAAGTTAGCGGCCAAAGCGACGGCGGGCATGACGGGGGGGAGCAAGGGCGCGACAACGGGAGGGGGCAAGAACGGAGCCAAAGGTCGTGGCCCAGAATAGGGGTCACTGAAGACGCCGGCCTCGCCACCGCTGCTGGCGGAACTGGGCAAAGCTATTAGCCAGCCTGCACTGCGGCTAGAAGATCCTCGACCTCTTCATGGACGCACTCACCTATACCTATTATCACATACCCGATATCCCACTTCTTCCCCTTCCTATCTTGGATCCGCCTCGGGGCTGGGTAAAGATGCCACCGCCGACAGCGTTCCCCCATCGCATTATGAAGATTTTGATTTGGATGGTCATCCTGGCGACTGTACCAGAACGCCATGCGGCATGGGCGTACATGCAACGACGAAGATATCACCAAATACGGGCACTCCTATTTTTACTTCTCCTCCTTCGGCACCTTCCCCATTAGGTGGCAATCCTCTTGGCGACAGTCGTTGGAAACCGCGCGAGGGCATGCAATGGGGTTGCCCCAAGAAGCTGTGCGACCCGCTGAATGGACCCAAACTGGCATCTTGGAACGTGGAAAGCTAGGCTACGACATGGCGAAGCTACCAGAATTGCAATACCACATGAAACAACATAACAATTCTATACTTTGCATCCAGGAGACAGGCATTACGGAATCCACGCACTTCGTCGATTCTGGTTTCGTGGTCATCTTAGCTGGCACGTCAGTGGAGACTACTGGGCGTTTTCACTCTGGGGTTGGATTCTAAATTGCCCCATGGGCGATCAAAGCTGTCGTCAGTTTCAGGCTGATTTCCGATAGGCTGGCAAGTTTGAACATCAAAGTCTCTGGTGGGGCCCTAACCTTATTCACGTGTTACGCGCCACGCGCTTGATACGAGCATGAACAAATGCAGACATGGTTCGACGATTTCACAGCGACGTGGCCGCGGCATGGAGCTCATGACGGTACGCTCGCGATGGGGGGTTTCAATACCCGGCTATATGAACAAGAACCGGGTGACGATCATATCATGGGGAATTATTTCTACCGCAACGTTTGGCCAAAACGTCGGGACCGACTCAATGGAGAATTGTTGCTCGAACATTGCCGGGCATCTGACATCAAGATTGCTAGCGCGTTCTTCCCGCACGAGGCCAGCAAGCTCATTGCATACTACGGCACACACGCTTCCAAGACGGGGCAGGCTGTGGAAGGAGAAGACTTTGCTCGAATCGATCATTGCCTAATTGATGGGCCACTTTTGGGGAAAATTCGCGATGTGCATTCGGATCGCACCGTGCCGCTGGCGAGCAGGCATTTCCTTTTAGTAGTGCACTTAGGCATCGACTTGCACGCAATGGACTAACATGCGGCGAAGCAGAATTTCGACCTCCTGGAGCTTATGACGGACAATGCGATCAAGACGCAGCTCTGCCGGCATTTCCGCGAAGCCAACGAAGCGACCACTGGGAGGGCAGCCGTGGTCAACGAGCACGCTTCCAAGTTGAATGAGGCGATGCTCGCAGCGTCAACTGCCCTCGCGCGCGCGGAGGTCAGCGCGCAAACCATGGATATCACGCGACACAGTGGTTCTACTGGAACAGCGCGACCGCGCGGGGCACTGCGAGCATGCACTGGACAAGCGCATCCAGGCGAGCGCCCGGGAGGACAAGCGGAAGTAGCTGGACGATCAGTTGGGCAGCGGGTCTTGGAGCGCCGTGCGCAAGTTGAGGAACGGCAGAGCGAGAAAGCCTCTTCAAATAAGAGATGCACACGGGCAGCTAGTGGACAGCGATCGTAGAGCAGACATTCTGGCCGACTATTTTGAAAAAGTGCAGTGGGCAGTGAGCTTCCCTGACCTTGCGGTCGAGGAGAGGCCCAGGATGGGAGAAACCCTCCCTGTAGATATTGCTGCGTTTTCCATTTGCGAATTGTCAGCTGCTCTCAGAGCTCTCCCCACAGGGAAAGCCGCGGGCGTCGACGAGGTGCCTCCAGGATTTTAAATCTTTGTTGTGCGATCCGGAAGCGATGCAATCGTTGCTGTCTCTCTTCCAGCGGTGATGGGATGAGAAAGCCATCCCAGATGAATGGCAAATAGCTGCAGCCGCCCTCTTGCGCAAAAAAAGGGGCACTAGTCTGCCTGAGAATTACAGGCCGATGTCTTTATTGCTCGTTGCCTACAAAATCCTGGCCTGGATGATGCAAAAACGCTTGCAAAGAGGAGGCGCGGAGAGCCGAATACGGAATTTGCAAGTCGGTTTCCGACCAAACTGGAGTACCTCCCAAGCCATTGTTATCGTTAGACGCATGGTTGATGCAGCGCAGGCAGCGACAGCCCCTGGACTCATCGCGGTTTATTTAGATTGGGCGAAAGCCTTCGATATGATAATGCACGACAAGTTAATTGGAGCTCTTACTAGGTTTGGCATCCCACAACAGATGGTGGACACGATAGGAAACACTTATTCAGCACGGCGATTTATTCTGCAGGATTCCGCGGGTAACTCGTCGCAGCGGTGCCAAGCATCAGGTGTAGCACAAGGCTGCCCCTATCGCCGCATTTGTTCATTATCGTGCAGAGCGTGATGTTTTTCGACGTTGATCGCGCAGTGGAGGGCGTGCGCACTGATGTAATCGAACCAGATTTTTTAGTTCGCCCAGACACTTTATACGCAGATGATACAATGCTTGCGAGTAGCAGCGCCGATAAATTGCAGACGTTGCTAGACGCTGTGATTTGCGATGGAAAAAAGTACGGCCTCGAATTAAATTGGGCCAAGACGGTGGCCATTCATACACAGAACAGTGGGGTTGTCAAGGCCCCCATCGGGCACCCCAGTGGCCCCTGCACGGCGAGTTGTTGATTTAGGTGGTCTTCTAAACGCACGCGCCACCGCCAAACCGGAGCTAACGCGGCGCTTCGGAGAGGCACGCTGTGTGTTCACAGCGTTACAGCGTTGTTGGTCACACGCCAACATTACGAGATCTAGGGAGCTCGAGATGTACAGTGCGATTGTGTGTTCCAAAGCTTTTTATACTTTTTAGAAACACTGTGGCTTTTAAAAGCAGACAGAAAGAGATTAGACAGTTTCAATGCAGTGTCTCAGGCGTATTTGCTGCATTCCACATTCATATTTGTCGAGAGTGTCAAACGACCAAGTTTTGAACATATGTCGAACCGCCCTCTCAGTGAGGCGCTTTGTGAGAGACAGACTTCGCTATGCAACAAGATCGCAGGGTTGTCACAAGACCACCCGCTGCGAGTTCTCACCTGCATGCCTGGATCACATGCACCTCGGGTCTGGGACCATGCCGGAAGAGAGGCAGACCGAAGGAACAGTGGGCTTCGTATGTGTTCAAGTTTCTGGCACAACAGTGGTCCTGAGGTGGTCCCTCCCCCTTCTTCGTGCCCCCCCCCTTCCTCCCCCTCCTCCCGCGTGGCGCCGATACGTTTGTTGGTGAATTCGTATCCTTCTCACTGCCCGCATTTCTCTGCCACACGCATAACTTTTTATCTTGCCAGTGCGCCGTCTGTGCGCCAGGCTTGATTGATTGATTGGGTTCTGGAATTTGGAATCGTCGAGGACATGCAGGTGGGAAGAATCAACAATGTCATTTATATAACGTTCCATTGCCATTTCTATTACTCCTACTGTTTCTCCGGTTAAGTCTAACCTTTAAGGTTATTATTATTATTATTATTATCACGACGACCACAGTGCGCGTGCGCTGAACGGCGAGGCCAATTCCTTGTGAGCCCAGTTCAGTTGGCGAGCTTCACAAGCCAGCGCACTGTGAATTCAGCGCACTGCGAGGTGAGTTCGTTGCGGGGCTAGCTCACTTTGCCGCCACAGTCATCGAAACTCGTGCAAATTGTTGCCACGAGTGCGCGCGGCGCGAAGGCGATAGCCACAGTTCGAAAATGAGCCGCCCCCAACCCGTGAAATTCGTGCTGCTATTAGAAATCAGTGTGCGCGGAACCGAAACGATTTTTGAAAACGAGCCCCCAAAATCCGTTAAGTTCTTGTTTTTTTTTTTTTTTTTTAAAAAAATGTTTTTTTTTATTATATATACACATATATATATATATATATATATATATATATATATATATATATATATATAATATATGTGTATAATAATAAAAAACATTTTAAAAAAAAAAAAAAAAAAAAAAAAAAAAAAAAAAAAAAAAAAAAAAAAAAAAAAAAAAAAAAAAAAAAAAAAAAAAACTGTGCGCGGCGATCAGGCGAGAACCACATTTTGAAAACGAGCCGTCTTCAAGCCGCGAAGCTATTTGTTGCAAAGTTTCGAAGCGAATATCAAGGTTTTTGAGTTCTCGTCGCCGGTCCTCATCAGAGACGTCGGTTGCGAAAGGGGCGGTGTGGATATAAATGTTGCTGAAACATATATATGTATATATACATATATATAAATACAACCACATGTATGCATGTAGATGTATGTGTATAAGTACATGTGTTCATTTGTAGATGTATATGTGTATGTATACCTGTATATATAATTCGTGTATATGTATGTGCTCTCTGGCGCGGCGGCAGAGTTGTCGCTGGGCCAGAATCCTCCGCGGCATTCAGTATCGGCGCGGTGCTGCCGGTAACCTTTTTTTCGGGGGGGGCGACCACCCTCCGAGGTCAGCAGAGGGACCCCCTCGGCGGGGGGCCTCGCCGGCGGGGTTCTGGCGCGCGGAGCCTCTGCCCCCCCGCGCCGCGCCCCCGCGCTCCCGCAGGAGCTGAAGACGCTCCCGTGCCTGCACGTCTACCACGCGGCGTGCATCGATCGGCGCGGGGGGGCAGCGCCGGGGCGCGAAGGGACGAGCGAAGGACGCACACACGGTTGACGAGCGAACAACTCACACCCATACCCATAGGAGGGTCGAAAGGAGGGGAACTGGCTATGGGTATGGGTGCGAGTTGTCGGACCCTGGGGGGAGCTCTCGTTCGAGCGGGGACCCCCATCCGACAACACGCACCCATAGCCTCCTCCGTCCCCCCTATGGGTATCGGTGCGTGTTGTTCGATCGTCACACAGTACCCATACTCAAGCAGTGGCGAAGCGTCCTGGCTCGCCTGTAGCCCCACCAGACCGTGTTCTAAGACCTTTTTTTGTGGTTCCCACGAACTGTTCTCAGAGCATGTCTGGCGGAGTCTGTCTTGATATATCACATCGGGTTTCTGTTCTAAGACACATTTTTTTGTTATCAGAACCCCTTTTGGGTTCCAAGAACATTTCGTGGTAGGACTATAGGAATGCCGGGGCGGTCGCTCCCTGCTCAAACGAACGAACGACGCACACACGGTACCCATACAGCGAAAGCCTATGCCAGGAGGCAGCCGTGCGTGCCTCCAGGGTTACGTCGGGCCCGTCCCTCTACAGAGGGCGGAGATTCAAAGATAGTCCAAAATGGTCGGGGGACCATTTTTTGATAATTGTTTTGCTATTTTGGATTATTTTTCTGTATTTTCAATTGTTCGTCGAAAATCACCCCGTAGGGGGACACGCCCGACTTAACTCCAGGGTGCCCTGGGTGGTTCGACGGTTCTGCGACGGCAGGCGTGGCGTCCCCAGGCCAAGAAGCCATGGCCGCCCCTGGGGGTTCCGGGTCGGATTTCCCGTGGAAGGTAGTTCTTGTGGTCGAGTTTCTGTTGCAGGGAGGGTCATCCTCGACCATCTGACGAAAAAAACACGCACGAAACCGACAAAAAAACACAGGGAATGCACGTCCGAGCGATGGCCAGTGGTCGAGTCTCTGCTGCAGGGAGGGTCGGAGGGAAGAGGTCTGGCTGCGGGTGTGGGTGCGGCTTGCCGGACTCTGTGGGAGGCTCCCGTGCAAGCGGGTCCCCCCATCCGAGAACACGCACCAGTAGACACTCCGACCCACCTGTGGGTACGGGTGCGCGCTGTTCGCCTGTCATGAAATAGAGCGCGAATTACCTACCCCGCTTTCGCTTCCAGGCAAAACCCAGTCATACCACGCGCCTCCTCGTCAAGCGGCCTGACCAGTACAGGCCGTAGTTTGGCATCGCTTGGTATCTCTTGGAAGCCCGATCTTACTCACGCCGACGTCGCCGATGCATCGCCGACGTCGACGACGCATGGCCAGTGCTTCAGCGAAGCATCGACTGTGCGGCGAGATCCTCCGACCCCATCTGCTTGAACCTGATTTGGGAGGCCTCTAGAGGGAGGAAGGGATGATTGGGGTCCCTGAGATCTCCCCTGGGGGCGCGAAGAGAGCCGAGATTCTCGCGCCGCGGTCGGCGCCGACGAGCCGGCCTTCTCCGCGCGCCAGCGCGAGGGCGAGGAGGCAGCTGTTCATCGCGGGGCCCCATGCGCATCGGCAAAAGGAGTACAGCAACAGTGCTTCAACGCCGCGATCCCCCTACAGTGCCGTTTTAAAAACATGCTCCGCGTGCGGACCATGTACAACAAATGCAGGGATTCAGTATTAAAAACAACGATGAGTGCATGCATACATTTATTCATAAATGATCATGTATCAAAAATCTTATATTTTCAAAAATCCTATGAATTAAAAACTGCCCCCCACGTGCATCTCAGTTCCTGGCACTTCCGCAGGTGGGCGTTAGGGCGAGAGAGTGCCAGCCTACGGCGACGAAGCGCTCCCTGGCGCCGGTCCTCCCCCTCCCCCCCTGAGGCCCCGAGTGTTGTGGAGGACGAGGAGGAGGAGGAGGAGGAGGAGGACGAGGAGGAGGAGGAGGAGGAGGAGGAGGAGGAGAGGAGGAGGAGCAGGAGGACGAGGAGGAGGACGAGGAGCAGCAGGAGGACGAGGAGGAAGAAGCCGAGGAGGAGGAGGAGGAGGAGGAGGAGGAGGAGGAGGAGCGAGGAGGAGCGAGGAGGAGGAGCGAGGAGGAGGAGGGGGGAAGGGAGGCGCTCCTGGGAGGCCCGGGGCTCCCCCCGCGGCGGGCGAGGCGGAGAAACCGCCCACCGCGGCCCCGGAGGGCGGCTCGGCAGCCGCCGCGGCGGGGGCGTCCTGGCAGCGACCGGCAGGAGGCAGAACGCCGCCACGCGAGGATCTATCGGCGACTACAAAGGGTGTGGTTACGCCAGGGTGTGGTTTGCGATCGGCGCCGTGGGGGCCTGGAGGGCACGACACTGTCCTCGTC